TCTGCCAACTGGAGCCGGATTTTTTTGTGGCTGTACATCACTGGCCATATGCTACTGAGTTTGGACAAATACAGAAGATAATTCACTCTGCTATTTTTACTTGTCAAACATTAAAAATTAAAGTTTCACACTGAATTAAAATCACACATCTCAATGATAAATTATAGTATCTCCTAGGGTAAAACTAATCCAGCTTGTATAAGGATTTAGCCCAGAGTCATTAGAGTCAGAAGAAAAACAGACAGCAGATTTACTTATCGCTGGAAAGTTGTAGACATCTTTCAGGTTCTGTCTTCCCTAGTGCAGCAATCAATCACTATACAGTGATTTACCTCAATCTGCACTGAATGCCAGAGCTGTCTAAGCTGTGCCATTTGACCATAGCTGGAGGCCATGCTTTGACAGGGACAGCAAAGTCCCTGCCCTATCACTCTGTACTATACAGCACGTGTGCATGTGTGTGTGAGAGCTGAATGCTTGCCATCCTTCTCAGAGAACACCAAAGTATTCAAAAAATGCTGAATGAACAGGATGTAGGAAGAGGTATTTCACAGTGTGACTAATCTAGAAGTTTAGGACATCACCATAACCATTTGTTCTTCTGAACAGAACTTCACATAAATATGACAGATGGACTAAATGGTTCCTGATGCTGAAGGACAAACTGCTCCTGCCTGCATCCGTCAAAGACCGTAAAGGACTAAAGGGCTTTGGAACAAAGAAAGTCAGGCAGAGACTAAGAGATAAACAGCTATAATGTAGCCATCATCATCAGTTATACTGCGGGATTCTGTGAGCAGCTTAGAGATGCGGCTTCTGACACCCACTCTAGCCTTATCCAGATAAATATCAGTGATTTGCCCACTCCACTCTCTCTCTCTCTCTCTCTCTCTCTCTCTCTCTCTCTCTCTGCAGTAGTGAGTTTAAAACTGAATTGATAAGGGCATAATTACAAGGGTCTGCGCTGTGATTAATTTGTTAATAGCAGCATTGCCTTCGGCCTTTGAGGAAAGACCCAACTCGTACACACAAACTGCTGAGCGCTCAATAGAGCAGCCGTAGCTCAGTTTTCTCATTCTTAGATACTTGCAAACACAAACACATGCACACACACTCATGCTTGGTGCATCCACCCTTCTAGCCAAACATTTTCTCCAGCAATTGTCAGCTTGCAGAGTTCACTATTTTTAAGATCGGAGGTTGTTCATATGTAAGAAGTGCAGTCAGCATCTTTTCTGAGCCGCGGTGCACGCCGCCTTGTGTATTTTTAATAGCGTTTTTCCAAAACTCATCTTTTGAAATGCCAAGCGGAAGAATTTAAACTTGGTCAAACGTAAAAGCAGTGCACTGCTTTTTCATCCTCTTAAGCCTGAAAAAGTCCTGTAAAAGAGACTTTATTTTACATTTGAAAAGAAGCCCTGCGAGACCCGTGTCTAAAATAAACTCAGCCACTCTTGAATTGCCATGCTCCTAAAGCATATTGGAGAGGGATTTGGGGTATACAGTGTTAAAAGGCTTTCTGCCACCACTCACCTGAAGGTACTGTCAGAAAGTGAAGAATATGACTCCCACTCTTCTCCATAACTACTCAACAGCATACAGACATTCCTCCCCACCAGGCCAAGCTATGGATGTTAACTAGACTTTTAAGAATGACTACGGCTAACTCTGGGAATTATTTTGCCTTTTGGTAATGCAATGGTTTTCTTTTATTCTTCATCTACTACAAAGGATATGGAATGGTTTTATTAAGCATCCTGTTTTAAAAAATAACAGTGAATAAATTGAAACAGAAAACACTTTAAAACGGGCCAGGATTACATGCATAAGTTAATGTCAAATCAGCTAGCATGAAATTTATACAGCACGTGGCTGGTGTTCTACAGATCCAAGTAAACAATCACAGTGTGCAGCATCAGAGCTACCGTTCTGCTCTTCCCTACCTTCTCACAACTTCTCATGGAGGTCAATACAACAGCTGGGGGCAGGGCTGCACAATACATTGGTTGTTAATGATTGTGATATCGCATTCCAGATGAGCGTTTTAATAAATTACAGTATCAAATAAAAGTGAATTTTTAGTCAAAATGTAGGCCAGTCTTTAACTGTGTTGCATTATTGATTCATCAATGCATTTGTAATAAACTGCAAGGCATGGCACAATTGCAAACACACAGCAATATAACTGCAGTACAAGTATTTTGGCCACAGGTGCCATAGAAGGACAGTGACAATTGTTTGGGCTCATGTCAGCACCTCTTTCCCATCTGTTGGAAAGGCTGTAGCTGGCTGAATTCTGACTAAACTGATATGTTTCATTTCATTGGTTTGAACTGCAGGCCAGCCACTAATCTTTCAGAAGCTGCTTTTGATCCAGAACACCCCCCACCACCACCACCACTACTACTACCACCAATCCCTGTGTCACAGTTTAAGAGGACTCAGAATCCAGAGTCAGATGGCTAGTAGTTGCTGGATTAGACTCAGCTAACCTTGGAAGGTGGAGGGATGCTTCCATGAAGGGCTTATCTTCCACCTCATACTCTTAAATGGCATGAGCACCATTACACTGAATCACTAAACAGAACCAACCACATCAAAAGCCTCAACTCCCACTCAGAAATTATCACAGCATACGACTACAATATTACAGAGGCCATTAGTGCAGTACCAAATACTAATTGGTACTGCAGTAATGGCCTCTGTAATTAGCTGATCACAAACGGCTACAGTTAATTATTTCCGTGGAGGAGTATGCATGTTGCATCAAAATCAGACATTGCTACGCATTCCTACACACCACTCTTACAAACATGAGCACTCTAAAAAATAATCAAAACAACTCCAACGAGCAGGCTGTGGTCTCACTGATGTAAATCTACTGAAGTGTGTTTTTTGTCTCAGTCATGCTTTCCTATAAGCCAACATCACAATTATTTTAAATCTGCTTTGCTAACTAGCTTAAATTTTGTACTTAACATGACAAGGCAAAAGGTGGTCAATTTTCCACCATCTGGTAAAGGAACAGGCACGTGACCAGCTCCTAAAATTATTCTAAGCTAAAAATACCATGTTCTGCCAGAGCAAACATTAGTCATGTTGGGGGGGCAAGCATGCCAGACACACGGACGAAAACATACAGAAAACAGTTCAGAGAGCACTGGGGTACACCTTAGTCTGTTTGTCTGTATGTTTTAAGAAATTAAATCTAGGTCAAGTTAGAGGCCAAATGCATCTAAATGCAGTCGTTTGTGTGTACTGACAACATCAAGGTCAATGTAAGTTTGGATAATGTAAGTAATGGACATTCATGTAGAAAATAAGGACACCAAATGGCATTACTCATCAAAGAAGTGTGATGCAGAACAAAAAGGCAAACACATATACAGCTCCCCAGCAGGAAGAGTTTACAATCTGAGCTGACAAAAGTCATTACAAACAAAGCACACACTCTCACATGGCAGCCTGAGAAACAAGCCCTGTTGTCACTACTGAGGATGTAAGCAAATATATGTATCCATGCCTGTGTGGACATATGTGGGTGAATGATGCCAACTGTAGTTGTGGTTGTACTTCCTTTTTTTTTTTTTTTAAAGTAAGTTAGTAACACTTTTGGATCAATTTCATTTCAAAACGCATTCATATAATCTTAAATATGAATTCCACAGCCTTTCCAAAATTTCTGTGAAACTAAACCATAGAGGTTTACAAAGTCATTAAGAGAGGTCTAATGTGAAATGCTATGATGTGAATCATGCCAAGTCAAAATTGCTTACAGGCAAAATAGTCTCCAAAGAAAGATTCAATACTACTTCAGCATTACCACAAGAAAACTCAGAAGACACATGGAGGTTCACTGCTCATTTCGGATAGTATGTCCATGTTTGTACTGTAGGCATCACAACCCCTGGTTCCCATCATCACCACTGTAAAGAAATTTGAGTCTGTGATGATATGTACCATGAATTATTTCACATACAAAAACTCTGAAAGACTCTGTGTACTGTGTACATCTCAATGACTGAATTACACAGAAATTCTGAAAATTTGGTGGAAAGGGTACCACACACCGGTCGAGAAGAGTCATGCAGCCCTGTGTAACAAACAAGGTAAAGTGCAGCTACTGCACAGAGGTAGCGTCACAGTGAGAAAGCTAATGGACATTCGCCACATACATTACTGGCTAGCAAACTAAACTATTTGTTTAAATATAAGGTTGATTGTCTTTCACTATGCAAATTTCAAGCCAAATGTCAGCACACAGATTTTAATGTTTTTGAGCGGTAGTGAAAGTCATAGTTGGGTGCTAACTTTAGCATTTGTCAATGGCAAACACCAAAATGAGCATCGTAAAGTGATGCACCAATCCATTACCAATATTAGCATTCATATGAACCTCATTAAACGGAACCAATATCAAGTCAAAATATATACCAATATCATGTCAAGAGTGACCGATGCACATTCAAATACTGTTTCTTAGACATAGTTCAACATTATTAACAATGATAATTAGCACAATCCAAAAAAGAATGTTGGTGTATGACCATTCAAAATACTGTTTTAAAAATGTTATGCTAAAAAATTATACTAATGAATTTGCACGTGTTATCACTGAATTTCGTGAAATCAGTGAGAGAAGCAAATGTTACCTACTCTTACAATAGAAAATACAGTTTCAAAAACAAAAATATGTGATGTTGCCCTTCTACTACAAAAAATGACTGCTTTAACAAGAGAATCTGCATTGGATCAGTCCCCCATATCAGCCGTCTGAGTTCAGATATCTAAAATGGTATTGAGAGAATGCTGGAACAGGGCATACTAAAGATTTTATTAAAAACTAATTTTGGTAGTTGTGTGTAATCCACCTGCCCTGTCTAGCATGTGTAGTGGCCTTCGGTTACCCAAGGATGATTAGATGAGAATACAGTGATGAGAGCAAATTTACTTTCCTCTCCAGTGTGTCCAGTCAGTAATCTGTTTCTGTTTCTCTGCAGTGTGGAGCTAGACTTTAAGCAGCAGGAAGATAAGCTGCAGCCGTTGATGAAGAGGCTATGCTCAGCGGAGGACTCGCCCTTTCCTTCACTGCCTTACCCCCAGGAGGCCTACACCTCTACTCCCAAACGCAAGGCCAAAGCAGAGGCCAAGAAACACGCTCGCTGGAAACTCTGGTTCTTATGAAAGAACACACAGCAGGACACACTCTCTCTCACTCTTCATTCTCTCTGTCTCCATTCTCCTGTCCTCCCTCCCTTCGCTCTTTCTCTCATTCTTTCTGGAGTTTCGTCATTTTATCGTTCTTCCCGTCACACTTTAAAGAGTGAAATGAAAAAGAATTCTGCGATTTGGATCCTGGACACTGAGCCCAGCTATGAAATCCCAGAGCCTGCTTTGAAATAAAAATGGAAAAATGGATCCTACTGGGACTGCATTTCCCGGTTTGGTATCAGAAAAGGAGAATATTTTTGGACTAATTTCCCCAAACAGAGCGTGAAATCCTCCTATTTGCAGATCAGCAAGGTGAGAAATGAGATTGGATTAACCTGTCTTAACCTTACTCATTTAAATATATATAAAAACAAATCTACACACTAACAAATAATTATTTACACACGACTGGATAACGATATCTCTATTCACTGCTCAGCTTATTCATAGGACCTGACTGCCCTCCCATTTATTTATTTATTTATTGGCTTTTTTTGTTCATCTGTCTCATGGATTTACTGGATATTGGTCTCTCATTCTAACAAAAGAAAAAAAGAAATCAGTTGCAAACACTTGGACTAAAAAAAAAATGTAATTGCCCTTCATGGACATCAACATGACTGGAGTCTCACTATAAAGACAAAGCACAATAACACTCAAGAGATACTCGTAGAGAAGATAAAACGGACTCAATGCAGGAATGTAGAAATGGACATTTGGGGGGGGGGTGGAAGGACATTCTTATTTGAAATATGAAAGAAAGAAAAAAATTTCACACATATATCTCAAGTTTCTATATAAACCCAAGTTTCTGAAGATCTACATCTACTAACTTTGAGATACTAATTTAAGGGAAAAAAATGAGTACCACTTATTTTTCTATATTCTTAATATCAAGCATTAAATTAAGATTTTTTAATATATACTGTATGAACTTAACTTGCTTCAGTGTTTACTGGATTATTAAAATGCTCAAACGAGGAAAAAGAAGAAGAAGATGATTCCTGACAGATCAGAACGATGGAAGTTCCATTCCATGGAAGTTTCACTGAGGAATACAGCAAGGATTACCACCATGTGCTTTCCTTCGCAGTAAATAATCTAGCATGTTAAACACACTGATTCAGCAGCCATCACACACAATGAAAGCTGGACTGGGTGTATGGTTGTGTCATGTGCTCGCGTTAGCGAGAAGGTGGCGATGATACTCAGAAAATGCCACGTTGTTCTCACCTTCACTGTTTTCATAAAGAATCGGATAGAGTGGTGATGTTGTCCAAAGTGCAGCCGGGTGCCAAGCACGATTTCTACGCCCTCAAAAATCTCTGCTTCCTTCTCCAGCCAACACAAAATACACACATCTTTGAAACAGAAATGTAATCATGATCTTCATTTTCTAAGAAATAACATTTATATAATGTAACGTCCTAATAATGTTGCAGATAAACTATCAAAGGATGTATGGAAGCTAGTATTCTAGGTGGCAGGGAATCTAATCAGGGCTAATTCCACCTCCGGGAACAGGGCTCATATGCTTTACAGAGCCACACCGAAACATCCGGGCATTCTGGGTAAGGCACTACCGAAGCCAAAAACCGCATCAGACAGAGGAAGCACGTGCCAAAGTGTTTAACAAGGGCAAACCGATCCATCTTTAAACCATGACCTCCAAAAGTCACAGTATAATTCTCTTCAGCAGGCTGTCTGATCTCCTGTTCTCCACACCTCTATCTGTTTTCTGCCAGCTAGATTAAACACCTTATCTCATTGTTTATCTTGTATATCAAAGGATTTGATTTACAAATAGTTCTACTGTAGCGTGAAGAGAGACCTAGATGTTATCTGTACCTTAAAGAAGTGCAATTGATTCACTATGTGCAATATTGTGCATTTTATAATGTTTTTAAAATCAAGCAATTTAATATACATAATAAAACCTGACAAAACAACAAAAAAGAAGTTTCCTCATCTGAGTATTTGGCCCTGTTATAACTTGGGAAAACTAAGTGTTCAGACTAATAACAATGACTGACTGAATAATAGTGCTTATTGTATTATAATTGCTGTTTGTTAAGAGCTTTTTTTCCCTCATTTGCATTTCTGTTTGTCATGAAACACTGCATTTGGGAAATCTCTCACACATTAGCCAGAGAAAAAAGAATGGTGATCACTTATGGGTGCCTTCATGCATAGCATTTACAACAGTATACATGTCAGGAATGTAACAGCACAAACTTCACATTACAATGTGCATTTTGCATCTCAGTACGAAAAACAAAACATTTATCCAACATTCATTTTGCTTATTTTGGTCCAGGTCCACTTAACTAAACAAGACCAAAGAATTAGGTGAATGCATATTTAACACAAAAGTGAATTTAAATTAAACACAAAATGTAAATGATGTAAATGGCAGGGGAATTTTTCATATTGTCATTGGTATCTCTTAAAGGAATAGTATAGAGTGTTTTTGAAGAACAATGGAAAGTAGGGATGCAATGATTAATCAGTTAACCGTCAACCGGCAAACAATTGTTTGATCAATGCAAAAAACATTAATTCGATTTCATTTTCAATAAACCACAGTTCCTATTTGAACTGGCAGGTAGACAGGCATCCACGTTGAAGAACGTTTTTTATCTGTATGCATGAGGGCTCAATAGGCAATTCTGCCTACTAGAAATTAAGCAAACTGGTTAACTATTATCAGGCAAAAGAAGCTGACAACATTTGCATCCTTAATGGAAACTATTCTTATTTTCCAATTTATGTCAGAATGTCTGATAACACAAATATTTTTACAGCATAAAACTGTATTCAAGTACGCATCTCCTTCCTACTATGGAGGTTACTAATTCGCTTATCGCAACAGACCAGGTACATATACAACATCATGCCTGGAAAGTTAATCTAAGGCATATTAGAACACAGTCAGCAAAACTAAAAATATCACCATACAGAGGACTGAGGAAGGTCCTTTAGGATTCAGGTATATTATAACAATACATACAAAACATATCTTCATGTGCATTTACTGTTCTGCATTGGATGCTTTTTTCATTGTCATACAATGACAGCTGGTGGAGAGTAGTCTCCCCCCCACACACCCCCACCGCAGACAAAGTGAAGGTGTTGCTGAATATTCAAAATCTATACCGTGCACTAAAAAACAGAGGAAAAGAGAGTGAGAGAAAATAAGCACATATGAGGGCATGTTAAAGAGAAAGAACATAGGAAGAAAAAAGTAAAACTGAGCTGCGAAAGAAGAGGGAATAAGAATGAAATCCAATCAGAGGTGTGTTATATCTGTTATAGAACATATGGTTATTATTCTACTGAATGTAGTATATAATTACACATAAGACTGGAAAAAAAAACATTCAAGAACAGTAATGACATGTAACAAGGGAGCAAGCAGTGCAATGTGCTGCCATGGAAAAGCAATGATTTGCAGGGAAGTCAGATTCAAGTGGGTCCAGTAATGTGAAAAACACTGAAGAGAGAGCAAAGAGGTTAAAGCAGACCAACTGTAGAGTCAAATCTGCATGCACAACACATGCTGTGTGTGTGTGATCTGAATTCTGCACTCATACAGCAGAAGCCAAACGGGGAACCTTAATGCATAAATCTGAATCTGAGGACTTACAAGCAAGGACACGGAGAGGAGGTTTGCAGAGCACTGCTGCAGCACACAAACTTACCCATACATACATAAATTCAATATGCTTAAAACACACACATCAATGCAAATACACACCGGAAATATATATGATCTTGGAAAAAGCGAATCCATGCCCATAAACATGAATCAACCAAGCTAAGACCCACCCACACCTGCACTCTTGTGCAATGCAGCTCAGTACTATCCTTGGCACTGGAGCTTTAAAAATTGAAACAGGTCTTATTGGCCATTAAATAAAGATGGAATGCTTTAAACGCTTAAGGACAGCAGGGCTATTCTTTATGCCTTGGCACTGCTGCAGCTCATATGACTCGCATGCATTTTCCACTTACAGGGTAGGATTTACTGCAAAGCCTTTGAGAACAGGGGTCAGGAAAGGGAACGTGCCGCAGAACGGCTCTCTAGAGGAGCGAAGGGTGCATTATATGATCCTTACATTAGGATTTCAGTGGCTGGGATTTAGAGGGTGTCATAAGGGGTGAATGTCGACACTGCTAACACAGAATGTATTAGCTGCAGCAGGAAAAAAGAAGGGAGGGAGGAAAAGAGAGAGATGCATGGAAAAGGAGATGGAGGGAGAGGAAGGAGGGTGGACAGGAAAGTCAAAGAGAGATTAACATGCATAAGGTGGGAGTCGCTGTAAAAGTCAAGGACAGCAGCAGCGGCAGGAGCGATGTGCCTGAATACGGGGTTAACTGCTCATACGCTGCACCACTGGGTCAGCTTTACTCACTCTGCGCTTGCTGAATTCAAATGCAACTCGAGATTTATTACATTACCGGATAGGAGGTACCAAAAAAAAAACACTTCCTCAAGAAATAATATAGGGTTACTCTATATGAAGAAGCAAAAACATCCATTAAGGTCACAGCTGGTACCTATAATAAACATAGGCCTATGGTTTCAGGGTGTAATTTTGGGAAGTAATTGTTCAATTTTGTAACATCAGTCGTGCTTCAGACTCCTTCCCTGAGCAGATGAACTAAATCTGATGATTGCAAGGTGTTAGAAGAGAATTCAAAGACAACTCCGTCAAAACTTAATGAAGGAGATTCAAACTTTTGAGCATATAAATCAGGGGTGCTCAGTCCTGGTCCTGGAGATCTACCTGCCAGCAGAGTTTAGTGCCAAACCTAATCCAGCACACCTGATCCAGGTTATGAAGGTCTTCTAATAATTTGAATATTAGAGCCAGGTGTTTGATCTGAACTCTCAAGGGTGACAGATCTACAGGACTAGCATTGGGCACCCCTGATGCAAGTAATTTATCTTATACTGTCATCAGATCTTCATCAGTGCAATGTTGATTTTGCATTTGAGACCTAAACATTCAACCAGATCTTTTTTCTAAGACTCTGCAGACTCCGAAAAACCTTAATAATTATTGTTTTCTCCCTCTTGAATCAGTAACGCTACTTTCAAATTCAACAAAAAAAAAATCTTACACACTGAAGTTTTAAACTGACCACAGATCACCATTTTTACAACAGCAAAAAACTTGGCTGACCGGTTGTTCAAAACTGCATTGTGACAACGAAGCTCAAAGAACAAAAGCTGATTCACTGGCTGTTTGCAGGTTTAGACAGTTTATATACAAATCCAATTCCAAAAAAGTTGGGACTGTGGGTAAAATGCAAATAAAAACAGAAAGCAGTTATTTCTAAACTTTTACAGATATTTAATAAAGAAACAGCACAAAGAAGAGCTATTTAATATTTACCTTATCAACCTTACAATTTTGATGCCTGCAACACATACCAAAAAAGTCGGGACTGGGGCAAAAACATCTGTTTTGCAAGTTCCCACAGGTAAACAGGAAAATAGGTAACAGGTGATTATTCTGACTTGGCATAAAAAGAGCGTTCATGACTTTTGCCAATTCGTGAAAAACTGTTTGAGCAAATAATTCAACAGTTTAAGAACCTTTTGTCAATATGTAATTTCAATTAAGTTCGGGATGTCACCATGCACAGTCAGTACCGTTTTGAAAGGAGCACTATATGCTTCTGGAGAACGATTGGTGATATTTGAACTCCACAGCAAACACACTCCTCCCTTCAGTGCACCTGTAGAAGCTCTGTCCCCCAAATTCATGGACGCACATTGTCAAGGCCAACATGCATTTTGTTGTTGTTTTTTTTTAGATCTTTGTGCTCATAAAACTCTTCATAAAGTTATTCAGTTGAAATATTAAAGATACTGTCTTTATACTGATTTCAATTAAATAAATGTCAAAAAGCATTCCTAATATGGGCATGACATCAACTACAGAATGACATGCAGCTTCAGAGTAATGTACAAACACTGTTCAGCAATAGGCTTTTCTGATTTAATATCAATAAGTACAAGGCCATTAGCATCAAGAAAATACTCAAACTGACAGCACTCTCGTTGTTTTGTGATGTGTCCTTTTAAGACATGCTCAAACACTCTTTTCTCTTTGGTAAACTGTCATTGTAACAGCTACTACTTTAAATAAGAAAAACAGAACAATATTTCCTAGACCGTCTTTAGAATATCACTCGACATACCTTAAACACAACCAAATATAAAATTCCATACATTCACCTAACACAGTTAGTGACACAAGAAGAGGTCTGTGTGTAAGATTTTCTTGAAAGTTTATATATTTATTATTTAAATAGCCAACTTAAGTCAGATTTCACATTTCTATGTGTCAAATTACAAGTGTGTACAAAAATGACTGCCATTCAGAACTCACTGATGGAATTTCTAATTGCAGCACAAACTGCAATAAGCATTGCAAACAACTCTGCCCTTGAAACAGGCATCAGTGTAGTGATATAAGCAACAAGGAAGTTCATTTCTCACACTATAAATAACTGTGTAACTGAACAGCACTCTGTGGACACGCATCGCTCTATTTATTATTTGGTGATGTACTCTTTCAGGACATGTTCAAACACTCTTGCCCCTTTGGGTAAATTGTCATGGCAACTGCTACTACTTTCTATGAGGAAATTGTTACAATATTAACCGGACAGTCTGTAGAATGTGACTCTTGACATCACAGCTATGCCAGTTGGGAGTCCTTCTTCCCTTTTTAATGAAACAGTTCATCAGTGTTCTTTAAGCACTGACCATATCCAGAATATATGTGATACTTAGTGATAGAATTTATCAAGACAGGGTTCCAATATTTTTAGGGGATGATTTTCCAGGATTTCTCCAGGACATTTTCAGTGGATTTTCCTTGAGTTCTTTACATGACAGGTGTTTCTCATGGAAAGTCATAGCAGAATTAGACTTAAATCTTCTGGCATCCTTAACATTAAAGTCAACAAAACAATCCTTAACGACCTTTTAGTGACTGATCGAAACATGCGCACACACACTCAGCAAAGCCACCTTACTTCCTAGTGGTCAGTACTTCACCTCCCAACTGACGACAAACAAAGCTCAAGTTCAAATGAACAAAAATTACTCACTGTCCTCCTCCCTCTAAAGCGCCATTCAAAATTTAGAGCTTGTTGTTTTGTAAGACATATGAAGCGCCTCAATAAATGCATTTTCTGTTTCCTTTCACTTATATCCATGCCCCTCACACTAAATCCACATACCATTTACAGTGGCGTGAACGTATAATAATGAAAGCTAACAACTGTGGAAAATAAGTGTGGTTAGATTAAATAGTTTTGCCCAGCTGATCGTGTAATAATTAGGACAGGCATATCACAGAGCACCCTAGTTCAGCTTTCAAGTACTGTGTTTATAAAACCCTTCTAAAGAACAATACCACATGTAAAAACAATATTTACATTTCATAATTAACCTTACTTTAAATTGGTTTATTTGTACATTTAACATTTAGTCAATATATTTCAGTTTTCCATTTGTAAAAAAATGTTTTTACACATTTACACATGCTTTTTACAACGGAAGTACTAAAGACATCGAGAGACAAGTGTGATCTAACGTTATTTCAGAAAACGAGGATAATTGGACACCCAAGTTCAAAACCAAATCAACGAATCTTGTCAGAATTCCGAAAACTAAATTAGTTTCTTGACCATGTCTTCTTTGAAAAATTCCTTTAGTAAATTCTCTCTCAGTAAGATTCTCCTGATTAAGTAACATAACATCTTCATAAATAAAATAATAAAATTTATGTAGACTGATTCAGCTGGGGGACAAACTTTACAGTTTTCCAGGACTATACTAATATTCCCAGGACAATTATCCGGGATTATTTTCCCATTTTATAGTTGTTTTTCATGACTAAAACTTAAATCTAAATTTCTAGGTTTTTCAGGATATATGGGAACCCTATAAGATAACAATATCATGCTGTCATCACTGATTTAATGTAGAAACACTGTTTCACAACAAGCTTTTTTATTTAAAATCAATAAGTACAAGGCCATTAACATGAAGACAATACTCAAACTCACAATTTTCCCAGCACTCTCATTATTTTGTGATGTGTTCTTTTAGGACATGCGTAAACATTCTTGTCTTTTGGGTAAACTGTCATTGTAACAGCTACTACTTTCAATTAGAAAAACAGCCAGTCCTAGCCAGTCTTTAGAAAACAACTCTTGACATACCTTAAACACAACCAAATATAAAACTCCATACATTCACCTAACACTGCTAGTGACACAAGCAAATCTAAACATAATCCACACAAACAGTTTCACAAGAAACTTTATAGGCCTGTGAATCAGGTTTGAGCATTCTCTTTACATAAAACACAATGAAGTAAAAGCCTTTCTACTGGAGGCCACACAACTTCAACACTCCTCAAAAACAAGTGAAAAAAGTAAAGTGTTATTCTCACACAGATACAGCCACTCACACACACATTCGCAAGTCTGTAAAGAAGAAACCATGGCGACAGGAAGAATAATCAATTTTAGTTCTTGAGGGCAAAAAAATCCAGCTCAAATACCAAAAACTCAGGAGTTCGTATCCATTTCCACCTCTACAACGGGCATTCACATTTAGGTTAATTAAAGAAGCCAGCAGTTGCACAAGCAATAAAATCACACTTATTTAAGTGAGTGCTGAAATTATTAGCCCAGTCCAAATTCCACTCTTGAAAATGTAAGAGAGAAAGAGAGTGTGTGTATGTTTGTGTGAGTGAGGGTGAAAAAGAGAGGGAGAGGGAGAATGAGAGTGCATTTCTGCAGTGAATGATTTGTATAGTAATTGACATGAGACTGCAGCAGAGAAGAGGACTAGAGTTCAGCTAACAATAACAGACTGATCATTCACTGCAGTGTGTGCGCGTGCAAGTGTGTGCGGTTCATATCCGCAAAAACACAATAAAACCCTGCCAATGGACTGTACTCAGTGTGAATGCTGCATTATTAACCCTGGATCTGGGATATCGAGTGGTGCCCACATCAAGCAATGCACTGTAAAGCTCAGCCACTTGAGCACAGTAGCAGGGACACTAGAACTACTCTCAACGACAAACACCGCAGTGGAAGACCCTCGTCATCAGGGACAGGAAAACTCATGGAGGGAAGGAGAATATCAGATTTAATGTGTGATTCAAGGCGAAAAAACATCAGACTTACTATGAGAGAAGAGTCACGTCCCAGTGAGATCACGGTTCTGTTTACTGTCCTCAACAGCTTCTCCATAATGATCTGAACATGCCACTGAGTGGGACCCTAGAGATGCACACAGATAAAAGACAACCAGAAAATTAACTCTGTGAAATTTTACTGCACACAAAATAAAATTTGAATACTAGAACAGAAAAATCAATCAATATGATATACAGCCATATAAATCCAACAGATTTGACACAAACATATCTATCAGACAGACTTTGGATGAAAAACAACTAGAGAATTAATGCAAATCCAACATATAAAAATGTAAATCATACTAATCCAACTGGACTCCATTCGGACTAAATCTAATACTGGATAAAGAATGAGTTCCATCCCCAGCGATGTCAAAGCCATTTCTGGCCTCCTTCATCGCCCATCATGCAAGAGTTTGTTAGCTTGAGTAACATAATTTGTAGTTATCATTCTCCTCCCAGCTTGCAGAGCACTCCATTGATGCTTGAAAAGATGGTGGTCGGCTTCAAGTGTCTCGCAGGAAGCACATGCTAGACTTTGCCCTTCTAGCTTGGTAGCATCATCTGATAGAGACTAGGAGACTAGGGCTGACCCGAATACCATTTTACAGTGTTCACTCGATTACTCATTCTCATTACCATAAAACAATCATTTATGTTATTTATATTTTTTTATCATTAATCTTACTTTAAGTTTGATCATTTTACATTTTTTAAACAAAATATAAAAATACAGAAAGTAGTTTTATACATTTATACATCCTTTTTACAATGGATATATACCAAAGAGAGCCGAGAGCCGTGTTCACCCAGAGAGCCGTGATATGCAAGTTCAAGGTGTAAAACTTCAAATCTTTGTGTAAACACATCACTAAACAATCAGTTTCAGCTGGTTTCCTGAATGGATAGTCAATTTCATATTCCACTGCTACCTGCAAAATTCCATCGCAAGTGATATAACTTTGTTAGGCAATCAAATTTCAAACAGGACTGGTGACTCTGCAAGTTACTTTTGATGTTTTATACTAAATTCATACAGATTTCCAGCAGCTCATTTCTCACAAGAATCAGCTAAACTAGTTAGCTAACCTACCTCTTGTCTTTTTCTCTGAGCTCTGTGGCAACGACGTGGCTCTTTCAACTGCGCGTGCACACTCCTACACATAAATCTCATTCAACAGTCAAAATTACAAACAAACAGATGTTTCTTTTTATGTATTTAAGTACTGTCTGCCATTTTAATCTGTTACTAACTTCTTTTGCTTCAGGCTTTAAAAAAAGGGGTGACTTGTGAAATCATAGGGGTGGTTTAGTTTAACTGATATTGCATGGGTATGACTTTCTTTTTTTTTTTGGTCTTGTATCACATCCAGTGTTCAGTAATTGCCAATTTTTGGTTTAAAGATAAATAAACCCCCAACTCTGAAAACAAAAGACAAAGCTTACAGATACTAAGGTATCGCATACCAACATGACAGAGGAATACTTGAGTATTCAAATTATTTGTGCCTAGGGGAGAGCTAACTAGCGCGTGGTCATGACTTAACTGGGGAGAATATTGGGAAAGAATCTGAAAAAATCCAAGAACTAAGACGATTTTCTTTTGGTTACCAAGGTTAAAACAGGGTGAGGTTTTTAAAGCAGCATTTAGCCAGTAATATGGAAGACAATTTAAATGCTCCACAAAGGCAGGAATACAAACGCTTGTGTGGACGGGCTTGTTATTTCATTTATATTGGGGGGCGAGGATTAGTCAGAGCAGTGTGAGGCTGAAATTTGGTGTATGTCTCAGCAGGGAAATCTATCTAAAATGAGACTCCCGGTAGCGTGTGAATTATTAAACCTGCTATTTCACAAACCTCCGCAAACCCTGAGTGTTTTAAAGCAGAGAGAGGGAAAAAACTTACATGCGTCGGGTATGACGTGTAACTTACGTAATTCTTACACACACACACAAAGTTAAAAAAGTAAACTGAGTCAATCAGGACACAGGCATAGAGGGGGAAAAGGGGAGAGCGGGGGAGAGAGAGAGAAAGAGAGAGAGAAAGAGAGAGACAATTCAAGACAAAGCATGCAAGAGTGTGTGAGAGAGAAGAAAAAAAGAGTGTTAAACAGTGTACTGAACCTCAGCATATTTCAAAAAGCTAAGCTGAATTATGGAGTGAGCAGTCCATGAAATAATCATTTGTTTCTAATGTGCAGAGAGGGGGAGACTGGGTAATTAAATGGAGACTGGCAAACACAGCATGCAATACTGAGTTTGGGTGGTGGAAAAAGAATTTATGCTTGTGTCTTTATAGACAGCAGTTCAGAGCAGTAAACAGAGCAGAGGGCGCTCACATACAGATCTGTATGCTAGAGCGTACAGTCAGGTCCATAAACACTCTGACAAGAACAAAGTTATTGTTATTTGAGCTGTCTACTACAGCATCTTGGAGTAGAAAATGAAATAATGAATATGAGCCCAATGAGACTTATCTACATCTAAATCAGGAGAATGGTGTCAGGGTTACATCCATTTTCATAAGTAGCACACATTTTTAGGAGCTAACAAACTAACAATCATAAAATACATTGACTTGACCACTGCAGAACATCCTGAAGATTACCAGAGGTCACATTATCAATAAGTACAAGTGGATTAGTTCCACTGGCAGCCATACCTGCCCATGTCATAACACTACCTCCACCATGCTTGGCAGATAAGGTGGCATGCTTTGGATCATGTGCAGTTCCCTCCCTTTTCCAAACTCTTCTCTTTCCATCATTCTAGTACAATTTGAGCTTTGCCTCATATGTCCATTAGATGATGTTCTCTGACTGCAAATGTATATTTTTTTGCAAACTCTAATCTGGTCTTCCTGTTTTTTGAGGCTTACCAATGGTTTATATTGTGTGTATTTACTCTGGTGTCTCTCTTCAAGTATTCTCTTAATGGTTGACTTTAACATAGACATGCCTACCTCTGTGTCACATGCCACATGGAGGGTGTTCTTCATCGTGCCAACTGCTGTGAGGGTTTAAATCACTATGGAAAAAATTCTTCTGTCATCCACCACAGTTGTTTTTAAAGGTCTTCCAGGCCTTTTGTGTTTCTGAGCTCACAAGTGTGTTCATTAGTTTTAAGAACATACCATATAGTCAAATGTTTTTGCTATCTCTCTGATGGGTTTGCACAGATTTTTCAGATTAATGATCGCTTGCTTTACTGGGCGTGACAGCTCGTTGGACTTCATCTTGAGAGCTAACAGCAACAGAATACAAATACAAATGCCACACTTGAAATCAAACCTAGGCCTTTTATCTGCTTACATGTAAGTGAAATAACATGGCCATGGAACAGCTGAGCAGGCAACTGTCCAATTAATTTTGAGCCCCTAAAAATAGGGCTATGTATAATGACTAATTCCTACACTAATCATTCTATTTGAATGCAAATACACTCAGATTAAAACACATCAGCACGCTTTCTTTATTCAGTATCAGCTCCACTATGCTGTGGCAGACAACTAAAATAACAGTAACTTTATCAACAATGTACAAATGCACAAATATTGATAGAAATGACTGTATACACTCTCACCACATCACTCCAGCCAGCAGAGATGAATGACAGTGTGTTTATACATGTATAAACCTGTTAGTGTACATATATTTATGTACGTGTGTGCAGATAAACCATACTGCTCCCAAACAACTCAGAAGAGCTATGCACTCACCACATCACTCCTGTATAGCACCTCCAGTATGTTGCTGAGCAGCTGGCAACAAGCCTCCAGCTCCTCATGCTGCTCCAAGTGAAATTTCAACTGATCCGTCATCAGCGGCAGCAGGATCTCTCTGCAGTCTGAAAACAGACCCGTACAATTACAATCTAGGACCACTAGTGCTGAGCGGTACTAATAAAATTCAGCATCACGCAGTGTCAGATGATAATTAAGTTTGTATTAATAAGGTGATTATGCAATAACTGTGACAGGTCAAGCTGGTAATCTATAGGAAAACAAAGTTGGTAACATCACAACACTTGCATTTATAAGGGCATTTTTCAACATGCGTCAGTTGTCATTAAACTTTGAGGTGAAATGACATCAAAACTGAAATGACATCAAAAACAGCAGCCTTTAAGACAACTGTTGATTGTTGGAATAAGCTTTTGTGTAGGTTTTTGTCACAAGTCATTAAAGGCTTATTTAGGTGTCATATAGCCTTACAAAGGCTGCCTATCAGTATAGTGTTACCAGAAAGTTTAACCAAACTGACAGCTTGTTTTGATTGGTCTGTTTTGTTCTTAAGAATGTTACATATTGTAAATATTAACCAAACAAATATTTATATAAAATTGTGTCTTTTTTTTCACAACAATCTAAAGCCCTTAGCAAATTACACAAGCTGCATTTTTGTCATCTATTAAACTAAAATCTGAACTAAAAAATCAATTACGCTTGACTAAAAATGTAAACACAATCCGTATTTCTGTGTGACACTAATGTCAATGTACCTGTAAAGACAATACAACAGTATTCAGGAAAAAAACAGTTTGACTTGCTACGTAGGCCTACGTAGAAAAAATAATTTTTTCACAAATCTCCCACACCAATGATATATTCTAAACTAAAACAGAGTGGTTGTGTGTCTGAAAGCATGCATACATTTAGCTCCTGGCACAGCAGTGTGCAGCAGTGCTTAGCCAAGTGGCAAATAGCAGCACCTTATTTAGATCAACATGACTATTTGCATAATGTGATTATTTGCTAACCACACTAAGCAACACAGGGAGCATACGCTTCTATTTCCATTATTTAGCTCATAAAGTAGACCTAATGCTTCGTTCAGAATGACCTAGGTAGTAAAGAGATGCCAGATATTAAATATTCCCAAACATTTAAATCACTAATTAAAAAGACAAAACAGACTGAATCACTGACATAAGACACACCTTCTCATTCAGTAAGCATACAGCATTTATAATTCCAGCTGTCAGGCAAATAAATACACACCTCTCTCAACACACACACATAGCAGACGGGATAGAAAAGTGAAACGTATGGGGAAAAAAAATATTCACCTGCGGTGGCAGTGGAACTCATTATATTTCATCTAACCTGCAGATTCTCATCTGCTCCTAATCTATCATACAGTGTCTGGGAGGCAAATGCATGCTAGCTGCCATTCATAGACAGAGGAAAGGATATGCAACCTGTCAATTAAACACAGGGGGATGAACACATCAAGCTGAAATGGGGATAAGCATATGTCAATTAAACAGAAGACTGAAAGACAAAACAATTTAAAAAATCTTCCAGTATAAAATGCTGAAAAGAAGGAGGATGAAATTTAATCTTAATGGCAAAAAAAGAAAGAAAGATGGAGGGAGGGAGACTGAGACTGAAGACGGAGCGGAGGAAGGGGGCAGGGGGAAGAAACAAAGAAAACAGAGAGAAAGAGAGAGGGAGATATGAGAGGGAGATATGAGAGGGAGGGAGGGAGAGAGAGAGAGAGAGAGAGAGAGAGAGAGAGAGAGAGAGAGGGGGGGGGAGAGGGAGGGAGAGAGAGAGCGAGAGAGAGAGACACATTATACAGCAGAAGCCGCAGTATTGCCTTATTATAGCCTTCACTGTATATTAGACCCAGCATGGCATCCATACTGAGCCACTACCAATGCAAGAACTCACACCTGCATATTTACACTCACACACGCTTGACAGTGTCTACTGAAAACCTTCAAGAATGGCGCCCTGCTATCAAAGGTCTTTCGTAAAACGTTATGGCCACAATGTCCAATCCCATAAACGTTCATCACTCTGTTTCTCCACTGCTTCATTTCATTGCAACTATTCATTTTCAGGCAATCTCATGCTCCGCCTAACAGACACCCATCAGCTGCCTTCTCTTCAGTCTCGTCTCGTGCGTATGAACTGAGGAACTATAATCAAAGTGGGTGACACACATAAATGGCAGGGCTGTGGTACACTACGTGATGAGAAGACTGGAGTGATATATGGGGTTACACCATCTTTGCTCAAGCTCATTTTTCACACACGAGGAAACAATAAACGGGGGAGCAAAATGTGAGACACCACCTCACCTCGAGACAGAGATAATGATGCTGGCTCAGATTTTCAGGTAAGTGCTAAAGGTAATTTACACGTCAGAAGTAGATGGCCTTCTAACACCTCACTTTAAGCAAATCATTACTGATAAATCTTTTTGTTAGTTACAGATGATTAAGATGTTTGAACCATGATGCAGCGTTTATAAGGACAGAAAAGAGGCTTCGTCTGTAGTAAGGAAGATAAGTTTCTATTACTATTCAAAACTGAACGTTTTAATGCCAACAAATACACTCCCACATTTCACTGTTTGTCAATTATTCTTCTCAGCATCCTCACAACAACAAAAAACAAACAATCAACATCATCATCTTTAACCACTTAGGGTCGCAGTAGCAGTTGGGAAAGCAGAGAATGCCAGATGACCCTGTCCCCCGCAACTTCCTTCAGCTTATCACATGGGACCCCGAGCCGCTCCCAGGCCAACTTCGAGATTTAATCCCTCCAGCGAGTACCAGGATGTGCACAGGGTCTCGTCCCAGTAGGACGTGCCTAGTAAACCCCCACCAGGAGGCGGGGCATCCAGATCAGATGCCCGAACCACCTCAACTGACTCCTCTCAATGTGGAGGAGTAGCGGCTCTACTCTCAGCTCCTCTCGGATGACAAAGCTTTTCACCCTGTCAAGTAGAGTGTAGCCCGCCACCCTGTGAAGAAAGCTCATTTCCACCGCTTGTATTTGCACACTCATTCTTTCGGTCAATACTCAGAGCTCATGACCATAGGTGAGGGTCGGGATGTAGACCGACCGGTAAATGGAGAGTTTTGCCTTACGGCTCACGGTCCCTCTTCACCATTAGTCTGGTACAGTGACTGCACTACTGCTGCCACCTGTCCCAGCCTGCAGCCGATCTCACGATCCCTCTTCCCATCACTCGTGAATAAGACCCCAAGATACTTAAACTCCTCTACCTGGGGCAGGTCCTCTTACCTGGAGCGGGCAAGCCATCCTTTTCCAGGCAAACAAACAACAACAATAATAATTAGATGAAATCCCAATTGCCATTCGAGAAGGTTTGTGTTTGTTGGGTTAGTTTAGTTTTGGGTTTAAAAGAGCTAATAGAAAATAGTGGCTGAACTGCACATACTGCCTGAAACTCTCAGCTGCTGGTCAGGTCAAATCATCCCGGTCACTTCCTCTAAGCGTTTTTCAATGGATTTCAGGCTGATAAATTAAAGGGCCTCAAAATATCAAGGGGCAGATGGCAGTTTTGAAAGAAGAAGGTGAAACCTTCCTTCACAAATAGATTCCTTCCTAAATAAAACACAACAAACGTCTATTAATTAATTTTTTAGTACTTTAGACATACCTAACAAGCAACCCTGTCTCTAATCACAGTGTTCGACTTCTGCTCTGCTGATGACTCTACTGCTACATGAAACTGATCACAAAGGCTCCATGAGAGTGGCTCAAAGAGTAAGCAAGCACTGTGTTAACCTTCAAAGAAATGAGGACATGTGCTTTGGATAACTTATTAATTAACTTTTCAGCATGATTATTAAACATAGATGTTTTATTAGTCACATATGTTAAACAGGTTTTGCTCCAATCACTCCACTAGGAGCGACAGCCAGCTTTGGTTAAAAAGTTTAATTAGTAATAATCTATTCTAGACTCTTTTAGGCAAGCTACACTGGTGAATACTCTGTACTCTGTATTTACTTACCAGCAATAAATAACATACTTTTTTCTGAAGCTGTAATCAAATCTAATTTTTAATGTTCAGAATTATGTCAGATTCTCTCAAGGTCATTTTAATCTCTGCTCTGCTGTGTGCAAACATTATTTTTAACCAAGAACTGGATAATAATAATAATAATAATAATAATCACCATAATCATTTTACATTTATGGCATTTAGCAGATGCTCTTATCCAGAGCGACTTACAAAAGTGCTTTGTTGTCTACTCAGAGAATGTATCCTAGCTAGTACAAATAGGTCAGAGGTACAAACTACCCCTGAGCTCAGATATTGCTATAAACAAAAGCCTGTGTTGATAATGAGGAAAAAAAAAGATACAGAATTAGACACAGTACAAGCGCAATAAAGTATATTTCAATAAGTACTTATATTAGTGCTCACTTAAGGGCTGTAAAAAGAGATGTGTCTTCAGTCTGCATACGAAGACCATGATAGAGTCTGCTTTACGGACAGCCAGTGGAAGGTACTGAGAAAAAAGTCTTGATGCTTGTCTTCCATGCGTCTTGAAGGATGGCGGGTCAAGCCGAGCTGTACTTGAAGCTCGAAGGGCTCAAGATACAGTTTGAGTTTTGACCATTGCCATTAGGTAGGGAGGGGCTCCATTTTTGGCTTAGTAGGCAAGCGTCAGAGTTTTAAAACTGATGCTGGCAACTAAAGGAAGCCAGTGAAGGGAATGAAGCAGTGGATAATAACATCATCATCATTACCAGTTTTATGTGTAAAATTGATCTTCTGAAGAGGTTTGTTTTCAAAACAGTGGAGAATGCTCCATTACATCTCTGAAAATAGATCTGATACACGCTCACATGCTCTAAAAAACAGAGCAAATAGAAGGTTGCAGAAAACTTGAGCGACTTGGTTATCACATTCTGTCAGAAACACAGAGAGACTGCACAGCAACTACATCTGTGTCTTAGTACAGCCTTCCAAGAAAATAATGTAGATGTAAAACGGTGCAGCAACTGACAACAAACAAAACCATATGGCTATAACAAATTGGACAACAATAAGAAGTGCAAGAAGCAATAAAAA